AGCAACTCGGATTTGCGTCGCCCAACCGAAGATCGACAACCAACACACACACCACTCAGAGAACGCTTGTGTCCGGTGCAACCACAGCGGATGACATAGCCTCCGCCGCACTCGCCGCTGCTATGTCGAATGTGTCAAGCTCTCAACAGCTAGCATGGAACTTACTGGAATCCGCGGAGTCTGCGGAGTCAACAAGCACCAGTTCAGAAGTGTCAACTTGCAAGCATGCTGACGATGTCAGACCTACACAGCGTGACATGACAATGAGGCCGACTACCACAGCTGAGACCCCAGAGTCACTCACGTCTGCTCTGCTTGCGGAGTGCCGACAAGAGACTGTTTCAAATTCTCAACAGCAGGCGTGGGACATATTACAAAAAAATTGTAGACCAACAGCATGACACTGACCCACGCGAAATCCACACACATGCCCAAGCTGCAGAGTGTCGCGACCCGGGTGCTGCCCATGCGGGTAGTAGTAGTAGTAGTAGTAGTAGTAGTAGTAGTAGTAGTAGTAGTAGTAGTAGTAGTAGTAGTAGTAGTAGTAGTAGTAGTAGTAGTAGTAGTAGTAGTAGTTTCATTTCTGGCGGTGTTCAAGCAGTTCTGGTTTGGATGTCTTTCTTTCCTTTTCCTTCCCCTTTTTCATGTATAAACATTGCTGTTGCCATTAATATTTGTTATCTTTCTATTTTGTTACAATTTTGCTGTTCGCCTTTTGAATTCATTGCCCTCCTTGCATTCACATCTTCATTGCTTTGTGCTTTCAATAAAAACACATTTCAGTAGTAGTAGTAGTAGTAGTAGTAGTAGTAGTAGTAGTAGCAGTAGCAGTAGCAGTAGCAGTAGCAGTAGCAGTAGCAGTAGCAGTAGCAGTAGCAGTAGCAGTAGCAGTAGCAGTAGCAGCAGCAGCAGCAGCAGGAGCAGCAGCAGCAGCAGCAGCAGCAGCAGGAGCAGCAGCAGCAGGAGCAGGAGCAGCAGCAGCAGCAGCAGCAGCAGCAGCAGGAGCAGCAGCAGCAGGAGCAGCAGCAGCAGGAGCAGCAGCAGCAGGAGCAGCAGCAGCAGGAGCAGCAGCAGCAGCAGCAGCAGCAGTAGTAGTTCTAGTTTTGCGGGCGGCCGAGCGGAGCAGGCGGCTAGAACACCGGCCGGCGGCACGAGCCAGCTTCGACTCGATGCGGATGAACCAGGTGCGGATTCGGCAGAAACGGGGCAAGTATTACTGGACAGTGCTAGAGCCGATCCAGATGACTCTCTCGCGGAAGCCGCACATCTGCTTGCAGGTCTAGATAGTAGTCAAGCAACACAGATTCATGCAACCTTGCCCTTGGACGAGACCCTCCATCAAGATGCAAACAGGCAGGACAACAATACGCTGCCACACCATTCGCCTGCAGCGACTGGTGCATTCACCCTGGGAACTATGGACAGCCAAACTACGGCAGCCACCATCAATGCCGCATATGAGGAGGCAGTACATTTCAGGCCAAATACCTTCAATGTGCCACATGGATCTTCTGGAAAGGCATTTGTAGCACAACTGAGTGTCTATCTGCAGGGCTTTGGAGATTCAGGACCCTTTGAGGGTCAAGCCCTCAGAATTGCCATGGTGTTCCAGCAACTACTCCTTCAGAAAACAAGACCACCATCACAGTCACTCGCAAAGTGTCTCCAAACCCGCTTGCACCAGTGGAATAACGGCGAGATAGATCAACTACGCCATGAATGTCGCACGATCCAACAGCTTCTTCAACGTCAGTCATCCACAACTGCTCAGTCCACAGACGCTCGGCACTTTGCCAACCTTGTGACGGGTGGAAAGTTAACCTCCGCCATCCACATGTCGCAGGAGGGTGGTCGTGGCGGTGTATTGGAACTGGACGACAGAGTGGGTGACAGCACTGTTCGTGACGTGCTCAAGAGCAAGCACCCTATCGGCCAGCCAGCAAACCCAGATGCACTGATTCCCGGGCAAGCGCCCATACCACCTCATCCTGTGCAGTTCGAAGCTCTTAATAGAGCCTCCATCCGACGTGCCGCACTACACACGCAGGGAGGTGCTGGCCCATCGGGAGTGAACGCGGACACGTGGCGCCATATGTGCACCGGCTTTTCCGATGCATCTGACCAGCTATGCGATGCTATGGCTCAATGTGCGCGCCGCCTCGCAACTACGTATGTCGATCCTACCGCACTGGAAGCTTACACGTCCTGCAGATTAATTCCTCTGGACAAGAGCCCAGGTGTCAGACCGATCGGCATTGGGGAGGTTCTCCGCCGAATCCTGGGCAAGGCCATCCTCTCTGTCATCCGCCCTGAAATCATGGAGGCTGCAGGAAGCCTTCAGTTATGTGCAGGCCAGGACGGAGGTATCGAAGCTGCCATCCATGCGATGGGGAGTGTGTTTGATGATCCGTCCACAGAGTGTCTTTTGCTTGCCGACGCATCCAATGCGTTCAATCGCCTGAACCGCGAAGTTTGCCTTAGGAATGTGCAGCACGCGTGTCCGTCTCTCGCCCATCTGGTTGTCAACACATACCGTCGGCCGGCAAAACTATTTGTTGGTGGTGAAACGATCCCATCGGAGGAAGGTACAACTCAAGGCGACCCTGTGGCAATGGCCATGTATGCTATTGGCATCGCCCCGCTGATGAAGTCTGTGGCAACTGAAGGTGCGGTACAGTCCTGGTATGCTGACGACGCTGGGTCGGGTGGCAAGCTGCTGCGGGTGCGCAAGTGGTGGGATCGGCTAGTCGGAAAGGGCCCCCAGTACGGATACTTTCCCAACCCGTCCAAATCCATCCTGGTTGTGAAACCTCAGTTCCTCGATGAGGCTGTCCGTATTTTCGACGGCACAGGTGTCACCATCCAACCCGATGGTGCAAGATACCTCGGCGCTGCAATCGGCACGCCAGCCTTTGTCACCAGCTACCTGCAGCAGAAGGTTGAGGAGTGGAGCACACAAGTTCACCGCCTTAGCCAGTATGCTATCACTGAGCCGCAAGCAGCCTACTCAGCGTATGTGTACGGCCTGCAGAGCAAATGGACTTTTCTCTGTAGGGCACAACCTGGTATGGCTGAGCACCTAGCTCCGCTTGATGCTGCTATCACCAACACCTTCATTCCTGCTCTCCTAGGTCGCCCCGTCAATGCTGAGGAGCGCACCCTGATAGCATTGCCATGTCGCTTTGGAGGCCTTGGCATACCTCATCCGTCGTCCCGGGCCGAACAGCACCAGTCCTCCCTTGACATCACTGCCTCCCTCACCTGCCGTGTTCTCGCCCAAGATCCAGTTCTTGGCACGGCCATCCATGATGTTCGCGCTGCCAAGAAGCGCGTGATGGCGACAGCCGGGGAGTCAATTCGCGCAGCAGCCCAGGCCTTCTCTTCCTCCGCCAGTTCAGAGCTGCAGCGAGTGATCGCTCTGGCTTCGGAACCGGGTGCCTCAAGCTGGCTCACGTGCCGACCCCTTCAACGCCATGGCTTCACCCTGACGAAGTCGGAGTTTCGGGATGCTGTTTGCCTTCGCTTCAACTGGCTGCCGGTCCGGCTACCATCACTGTGTGCGTGTGGGCAGCAGTTCACTGTGTCTCACTCCCTCTCGTGTCCGACGGGTGGATTTCCGTCCATTCGTCACAACGAGGTGAGGGACCTCACTGCTCGTCTGCTCAGGCGGGTGGCCCATCAGGTAGCAGTTGAGCCACACCTCCAGCCACTCTCCGGAGAGCAACTCCGTTATCGCACTGCTATTGCTGACGACCAGGCACGCCTAGACGTCGTGGCTAGTGGCATTTGGGGAGGACGGTTCGAACGCACCTACATTGATGTACGGGTATTCAACCCCCATGCGTCTTCGAACCGTTCCCACTCACTTGCTGCTACCTATGTCCGTCATGAAAAGGCTAAGCGTCGTGCGTATGAGCAGCGCCTGAGGGAGGTGGAGCATTCCAGCTTTGTCCCCGCCATCTTCTCTACCACCGGAGGCATGGGAAAGCACGGTGCTTCGCTCTACAAACACGTCGCCTCTCTCCTCGCTGCCAAGACTGGGGAGCCATACAGCATCACCCTAGCTGCCATCCGCTGCCAGATTGGCTTTGCACTGGTCCGTTCAGCGCTGATGTGCTTGCGTGGTGCACGCAAGGCATTCTTACCAGCAATGGCCTCAGACTCGGCAGCGCTTGTTGTTGCTGAAGCAAGAATCTCAGCTTGAGGCTTGCATTATTATTATTATTATCTGTCAAGTGTCATTAATGACATTGTACATGATCATCACCGCATGCGCTCGATCTAATCATTGATTGTCTTTATTTTATGTTTTGCCCGTACAAGAGGCATGGTAAAAAAAAGAGAAAAAAGCACCTTATGTAGAAACTTACGTAGCATAGCGATGTCGTTTTTCTTGACATGTGAACACAATAATAGAAAAGCTGACAGGATCGCTTTTCTAAATCATTCCCATTTTTTGACACAACTGGCATGAAGGATTATCGATAGCACTTCCAATTCCACTTGCAACAATTTATTTGGACATAGCTTGCCTGATAACCGTAGGTCTACGTACTATTCCCACCCAAACGCAGCCCAGCCAAGCCACAATTGTGCCAGGAGCATGGCATGCCGTGTGCACATCCCGCCTGCATGCGCAGTACAGGTGCACTGCAGCGCAGGGCGCGCAGACTCGCCGCAGAGCGCTGCATGGTGTCATGGGTTCACTGCTGGGCGCGCATGGCGCATGACGCTCGTCAGCTCGTCAGGCTAGGCGCAGGCGGGGCCTAGCCTGCTGCACTGTGTACGGAAATGTGTACACGGCACCACTCAACTTGCAGTCGGGTCAAAGACCGCTGGGCTAGGGCACAACACGATGCTGCGTTTACATGTGCAGACAAACATGGAAGAGTGTGGGACATGTGGGCGGGGGGGGGGGGGGGGAGGAGGGAGGGGGCGACGATTGCGTTTAGCACATGACTGGATTTATAGTCGACTGCTGATCAACAAGACCTGTCGTTTCTCCTGGTCACTCTCCAATTGCGTTGTGGTGGTTAGCCAAACGCGCATTTGCTTCTCAAAGCATCACCTACCGGGAACGGAATAGGTTGGAAGAGAGAGAGAGAGAAAGAGAAGCTCTGCGAGAAGAAGAAAGTCGGAGGTAAGCCGGAAGGCCGGATTGTAACGTGTATCATACAACATTCATACATAAGATCAGTGCATGTATGCATGCATGCAGTAATCGTGTGTTGACCTTGGCACCTTTGTTTCACCCCTAATTCGTTTCACACCGTATTTGCCAAAGAGGTATCACACGCCAGGCCACCGAATAAGGGAAGCAAACTTGGCCACATATCCAAACGCCGTATCCTTAGGCTAACAACGGTTGTGGTTGGGCGCTGCTTGACAATTGGCAATGTGAAACTTGGATAATGTTAGGTTACAGTAACTGTTGTAGTGGGACAAAAATGCAGGATCCCAACCTGACTCTCAGAGTATCTCCGTTGAAGATATGCAAAAAATCCACAAGGTTAATGATCATTGTTCCACATGGATATTCTTCAGAAAGTCAGCAAGTGTGTTGAAAGTGCATTCGTCAACCGTTTTGGATGCCCTCCGAGGCGTGACCGATCCAGTTGCCAAACCTTTCCATCGATTCTGGAGTGGCTGCGAGAGGTAGATCCTCGTCCACGCCAAAACTATGAAGGCATGCAGCAGAACCATAATCCAATGACGAATCTAAGCTGACTTCCAGTTACAGATGTCTCCAGCAAAAGCAGCTGGTCTCACGCCATACCGAAGCAGGAGCCTCACGAAAATGGCACGATCTGGGTCCCTGAGCTAACTGGGCAGCTGCAGAATGCGCTATGAATTGTTTTTTGGACTTGCAGCAAAAGCCACCTTGCTTACTGTAGGTCTGGGTGCATAGGTTCTTCAATGTTACATTTAATAAATTTTTTTAAAATGTAAATGTACGGGTTTTTAAATATATTGAAAACCACAAACCTTCAGACGTGTGAATGTGCATATACATGTACATGTATACAGTGTGCATGCGTATGTATCTCTTAATTTGCTAAATCCTATTTATAGGATTTTGGTCATATTTTTCAACTCAAAATGGGTGTGGCACGAGCATAGAGAAAAGTATGTGACCAATTCTTCCTTGCTAGGTCTTAGTAGATATCGAGAGTTGAATAAGATAATTTTTTCAAACACTAACATCTCAGGCTCATCTCCTTGCCCAATATTACTAAGGCCTGTGCCCTATTTTTCGAATCCTATATATAGGATTTGAGATTTTATTGGACCTTGTTTTATCCTTAAAACTGGTAGTTTCATGACGGCATGTGCGATATGTCGTCATGAAACCACACCTGCAATGTTCTTCTGCACATTCACTGCTTCAGTCCTTTCCATGACAGCAGCTGAACAAATATGCTCAAATTTCCAATTTTTGCTGAAAATGGGTATTCATCAGAAATATTATCGCCCTATGAATCTAAAATGTGAACATTCATGCCTCAAACATATTTACAACTTCCATGAAAACCATTATGCCGTTATTACTGGTCGTGATGACCAACAACAACGGCATAAAAGGCACACATTTTCAAATCCTATGTAAAGGATTTTGGGCCAGCAAATTAAGAGATAGAGAAGGCAGCTTAAGGTCCCCTAAGGCGTGCAGTGACATTTAATACCAGCTTGTGTGCATGTTCTGTTGGTTCTGGTGGCTACAGATGGCGTATGCTGCTATGTCTTCACGCTTCTGGACGGCGTCGTTCGCTTTCGCAACTCTAGCCGTGATCTGCACACAGCACGCGACAGCAGATTCCGACAAGCTGGTCACATTCCTTCCAAGTGAGTACTTCGAAGTGCTACATGTACTGATGTAGTATCAAGAGTGCACGTTTGCTAGTATCCATGTAACAGTAAAAACTTACCAACAACTTGTAAAAAGTAAATTATCATGTCCGTTCCCGCAGGGAACGACCGCTAACACCCCTCGTAAACCCTAGTGGCAGATGGGTACATGTAACTCAACTGGAGCGCTGGAGAAAAAACACTGAGTTAAAGGATACACTGAAATGTTGTTGAAGAGCCTGATGTGTACCCTTCTTCTCAGTGTTGTTGCTTTCTTGTATCCAAGGAAACTGGTCACATTGTTGAAAATTTGAAACTCGGATGTTGAGCCAATAATAACATTTTTATTGTAGAAAGGAAAAGGACATATGGATACTTTCTGACTGTATTATAGTATCTGGTTACAGTGATGGATGGTTACCGTCAGGCTTTTAACTCTTATCCATATCATGTCCTTTTCCTTTCTACAGCTGTTGAAAATGTTTGGATAAAGAGATCCGATAGGAGAGGAGGATGAAATAGAGAGCAAACTGGAAAGGCTGTTAGCAGAATGGCCGAAAGTCTTCGCCCTCTATCTCTGTATTCCATTGTGAGCGAATGCTATTGTTATCCCTCCTTTATTCACTTCTTTCGAAGGCGATAAGCCAGACCCACCGGGAAATATTTCCATCGGTGGGACAGCAAAAAGAAAGTGAAAAAAATAAAAAATAAAAAAAATAAATAAATAAATAAAACCTAAAAACCAAAGGGACAAGAAATAGTTGAAAGAAGAGGAAGAAAGGAAAGAAACTCAATCCGAACTCCAACATCAAAACAATAATACAGAATTTGCAGCGACACGCAAAATACATCAACCGATGAAGGGAGTAACAAAGGAAATATCAGTCTTTATCAGTCGTTATTTAAGTCTCTTAGCTATTGAACGTGCAAACGCAGCAGAGGTGCATCTACATGTTAAGGATAGTTCTTAGCATTTTAATCGAACCTTATTATTATTATTATTATTATTAATGGCAATAAATAAGATAAATTGTGCACTCATAACAACAGCAAAAATGAAGAAAGTCAAGTTCCATAACGTTTTCTTGTGACTGTCATCAGTGGAACGCCGTCACATAAATATGTAATAACTAAAACACACACTTATATACATTATTATTATTAGAAAGGAAAAGGACATATGGAAACGAGTTAAGAGTAACTCTCCACCACTGTAACTAGATACTATATACAGTCAGAAAGTGCAACAACTAGGCACAAAACTGACAGAGTACTGAGACATTCGACGTCCTGACACTTCAACACATCTCCGTAGCGCTAACCGACAGCCTTCCAACTTGGAAGGTTCAAGGTTATGGAAAGACCAAAGAGGGGAAGGCAAGCGCAACGAAAACGAGCACAAGCTACAGTCCCAACGAAACAAAGAATGTTTAGATTTCGGTTTGTACAATTCGTTCTCGCAAAGCTTCCCCCTTCTTAACTTATCTTTGATATTTTTGCCCCACCCAAGTTGGGTGGTGTGCTGCTTTGCTGCTTCGAATTGTAGTTAGACCGCTTTGTCAAATCGCCTACTGGTCTCGTCATCGTCCAGTGACAATCGACATTCTTTGTTCCGTTGGGACTGTAGCTTGTGCTCGTTTTTGTTGCGCTTGCCTTCCCCTCTTTGGTCTTTCCATAACCTTGAACCTTCCAAGTTGGAAGGCTGTCGGCTAGCGCTACGGAGATGTGTTGAAGCTAGGTGTCAGGACGTCGAATGTCTCAGTACTCTGTCAGTTTTGTGCCTAGTTGTTGCACTTTCTGACTGTATATAGTATCTAGTTACAGTGGTGGAGAGTTACTCTTAACTCGTTTCCATAATTATGTCCTTTTCCTTTCTACTTTTATTATTGGCTCAATACCCGAGTTTCAAATTATTATTATCATTATTATTGTGTGGGTACAGTGAGGGCTGCGTCCCACCCGCCTGTGTGGATTCACAGGAAGTGTGAGTTACGAAGTCTGAAGAGAATGTTGAACAGTCTCTGCTGGGATGACGACTACACCATAGCTCAGTGGTTAGAGCATTGCTAGCTACAAGCGAGGGTCCCTGGTTCGAGTCCTGGTGGTGACAGTCAATTTTTTCTTCAGAGTTTTCCCGTTTGTCTCTTTCCCTCAAACTAGTGAAGATTATTATTTTAAAATTTATTATTATTATTATTATTATTATTCTCAATTCATGGATGACATTGTGTCAATCAATATAATGGATCCCATGAATCTACATCCGATCTCAGCCTATCTGACAGGCTCAAAGTTTATGCACCCAACACATTGGTGTCAAACGTGAACTATAAGTTTGTATAGGTCTGCTTACCCCTAGACTTGTACATGTATTAAGACAATTTAAAGCGTAGAAAAGTTCTCACGTTCCCGTTAGGGGACGGTCACTCTGAGGGAAATTAAAAAAAAATCCGTGGTTACCATGGATATTTGCCGTTGAGCGGGATATTTGAGAGATTTAATCCACGTGACGAAAATCAGCTCGAGGTCCCACTTTTCCGCTTAAGATTAGAATCATCCGCATCTTCCACTGGATTTCTTTGAGTTTCCTTGTTTTTTCATTGCGCTGTGAAGTGGAGCAATACTGTAAAACGGGTAACTATTGCGACGTAAAACTGTTTGCGAATTTCGCGAGAGGCCCCGAAGGTTTACCGACCATTCACCGAATGACAATTCACCGAAAGACACTTCACCGAAAGACACTTCACCGAAAGACAAATCATCGAATGGACAATCCACCGACTGGACAATTCACCGAAAGACACTTCACAGAAAGACATTTCACCGAATGGCTATATCACCGACAAGACAGCTCACCGAAATTCTACTCTCAATTGTAATGACTGGTTCGTAGTCAGGCTAACTGTTTAATACTTCACCGGCGCTGAGTTTCGCAGGGCTGAAATGCTGACGTACTGCCACTACTGGCGCTGGTTGCACGTTATTTAGAAAAGCGATCCTGTCAGCTTTTCTATTATTGTGTTCACATGGCAAGAAAAACGACACCGCTATGCTACGTGAGTTTCTACGTAAGGTGCTCGGTATTTCACTCAGGCTACGTAAGTTTCTACGTAAGGTACTCGGTATTAGATCTACCAACGCGTGGTAGCCGCATGCTGTGCACGTGTACGGCAGACATTGTGTTGCATGCATGCAGTCCGTTTTCGGATGTGCATGCGCGAGGAACTTCCTTCTTTGGAACTGCTTCTTGCATGAGCTGTTACGGATATTTCGTGTCCTGGCTTACATGTATTTCGCTTCGGCTCTGCTGAGACCTCCTTTCACGGAATATTACTCAATGACAGGTGAGTTGACCAGTTCCCTTTGATTCATTTGTGTGTGTTGACTCTTTCATTTACGAAAAGTGTGCTGATTTTAGATAAAATAAATAAAATAATGGAAAAGCTCACAGGATCTCTTTTCTAAATTTAGCTTTTCTGCTGTCGAGGCCTCCTTTTACGGAATACTCAGTGACAGGTGATCTCTGATTTGACCAGTTTCCTTCGATTCATTTGCTTATGCTCACCCTTTCATTTACGGAAACGTGTGCTGATTTTATTCGGATTTAGATCCATTCGTATCTCTTTGCCCTTGCCAACAGTGTGCGAAGAACGCGAGTTCACCTTCTTGACGGTAAGGCTTATGTTATATGTTGCTGCTGAGACTTAGATGTGTTGTCGAAATACTCATGTTCATTGTACATTGGTACGTTACAAGTAAGGCACTGGCCATGATTGCTTCAGGCATTCCGTGCTCCGATCATAGGGTAGAATCTGAATTTTGCAGTGACATAGCATCGTTGGCAGTTCCCAATCTGGAGGGAAAGGTTCAAGGACGCATTGGCCGAGTATGCAAAATAAATTAGCATATCTGACAGGGAAAATCTCCATTATGGAGCTCATGCATTCAGTGACTTGTTTGCTTCATGCGAAACAAGCCAATGGGTGCAGTCTCGTCTCGTGAAAATCTCTTACGATTGGATTTGTTTACTCGAGTCTGGGCTGTTTGATTTGAGGGTAGCGCCGAGATTGCACTGCCCCAAATAAAGTTGCGTGCCGGCAGAGCAAGAATTACGATCTACAATCTGTTTGTTACTTTGTAGTACCTGCAAGAATGTGCTGTACATGTATCGTATTTTCTCTGTTGTTGTTTCAGTTGCCATCATGTTGCTAAAGAAAGGTTCAGTGACTCATTTGTTTCATACAAGACGAGTCAATGGTTTGGTTTGGCTTAGAATCTTTCGCTGTAGAAGAAATCTATTCGTGTCTCTATTGGAGAAGTAATTGTATTCACTCGTTATAAAATAGGGTTAAGACAAACTCACGCAACAAATACCAGCGGTCCCTTGATGCTCGTCCTAAAGAGGTTTGACTGGATATCATTCATACTCCCCCAAAGTCGTGTAACATTTTATTATTATAGAGTGCCTTGTTTATCTCTCAGTACCTCCAACTATATCCTTGCCCCTTATATCCTCAGGATCAGTGTAGTTGTTGGAACGACGTGTCGGACTCGACAATGTATTTGTTTACATTTTAATACATGTTTATTGTTCCTACTTTGCTGTGTTGTTTTAGACAATCGTGGACTTGTAACACTTTGAAGTCATTGAACTACTTCCAAACGTTTATTGACATCAACAGGATTACGATTTGAGTACAATATGATGCCGGATGACCTTTATCACGACAACCCATGACTACAATTATAAACACATAATCAACGAAAACATCTGCGGCACGCACCTAGTTACAATTCTCAAGTAAATGTGATTTTGGGGTGTGGACATCTGAATTTTCTGAAAGACAAGACAATTTTATGACAGAGTCATGGAATTCTGCAACAGCAACATCCACAGAATGACCTGCGTATAAAAAAGTATCACCGCCACTACCCATATGATTCCCCTGCAGAAGAACAGGAATATGCAAGACTACACTCCATTTCAAAACTATAGACGCGTGCGTACCTAGGCAAAAACCGTTATGCCAGCATCTATACCACATAAAATCTGTGATCACTTTGTGCATAAATTTTTCCAAATTGGGCGTCTGTTATCCAATCCTTTAGAAACTATGGGTGCGTTCTTAAATCCTCTCGGAAAAGTTGGAGACTCTCCGAAAAGTTCGAGAGCTGTTCTTATATCCTCTCCGAATTTTAGGAGGCTCTCCAAAGCTCTCCAAGCTCTCCAAGCTTCAGAGGTGGTTGAAACTTGGAGATTCCCGCGGTTTGGGATCAGCGCATGCGAACTAGGCTAAAAGCCACGTGTTGATCATGAGTGTACGCGTTTCCCTTTTCGCATACGCACAGCGCATACTATTTTCGTGGCACTCAAGATCGCGGCCCCTTTGGCGCTTCATTTTGCTTGACATCTGCAAAATATCTCCGAATTCTTCGAGACCCGTTCTTGAAGAATCCCAGTTTCTTCGACTTCTCTTTTCTTCTTCTCCTAGAAGCTAGAGAATTTAAGAACGCACCCTATATGAGAGTAATTGTGAAGCGATCCTGAGCAATATTCCGAAAACTATTCTCAAAAAGTTCTAGCCAAATTTGAAATATTTCAAAAACCCTACGCGTCTATAGTTTTGAAATGCACTGTAGTGCCATTTTCTGCAAGAAAAGGCTTGCACATCAATGCGTATAATACGGTATTGAATTTGATATGATGCACATGTAGAGGCACTACATGTAGACCATCATTTAGGGCATTCCATTGGTGACACAATTATAATAATAATATCCTTAGCTAAAAAAACAAAAGAAATTATAGCAATAAAAACTGCTTTATGGCAGTTTTCTAAAAAAAAGTTATTGTGTTCTAGTCCATGGACCCCGTCTAAAAAGTAAGAAATTAACGAAAATTAATGTGATAGCCGAAAATTAAAATTTCACACAAAACCTCACAATAATCACAACACTTGAGGATCTTAGTTTAAAAAAAATACTGCTTTCAACACTTCTTTGGTCTGACACTTCACGGGTGACTTGTACGAGTACTGCGCCAACATGCATGAATAGGAAAGAGGACCACGAGGGGAAAAGGTCTTCTCGCTTTTCATCCTGTGTGTGATTATTGTGAGGTTTTGTGTGAAATTTTAATTTTCGGCTATCACATTAATTTTCGTTAATTTCTTACTTTTTAGACGGGGTCCATGGACTAGAACACAATAACTTTTTTTAGAAAACTGCCATAAAGCAGTTTTTATTGCTATAATGTTGCAAATGTAGTACATGGACAGTCAGACGTCGCATAACCACTAGTGCACTGAGTGCATGTGTCGGGTTTGCGTGCAAAAATTACTACATTTCCACGGTTGTGACCAAAATGACCGAACTGGCAAGCACAAAAATTACAAATATGGAAGAATAGCTCTGAAAAGCAGCGAGTTTTTACTGAATTAATCCCTTATTCCAATCATCACCACTGGTAAGAGTAAAACACTGTGTTAGCTGGTTGAAACATCAACAGTAAGGGTTCATTTTAGTACGTTTTGGGTGAAAAATATGAGACAATCAAAACCGTAATGATTAGCTAGATCCATCGCTTTTTGGTATAATCGTTTCAACCCTAGTAAACATTACACAAACGTGTAAACATTACATGGTCAATGAAATCCGATAAAATCTCTGTAGTAGCGAGGTCTGACTGTATATCAACCAGCCTTCTATTGTCAAAAATTCAAAATTCTTCAACGTTGTGGAGTGATTGCTAGGCCTTGACGGATTATGCTAATATTTTCGTTAAATTATGCTTTTCGCATTGCTGAAAAAATTGCAGAATTATGCTATTTTTATGCTAAAAGTTATCATATTATGCCGCATTATACTCACATTATATGCTGCTAATGTACATGTATATGATGGTTCTGTGCAAAATAACAGGGGATTTTTTTATAGGGCGTTGTACTGTAGTACTAGTAGCAAACGTTCAACGGGGTCAACGCACCGTCCGACCTACACTTGTAGCTACGACCATCACCAAGAGTACATAAACCAAGAGTACATAAACAAGAGTACATAAACCAAGAGTACATAAAATGTACTCTTGCCATCACTGATTGTAATGGACTGGACATGTTATCAAGGGAGTCGTAAACCTACGACTTCCTGGTGTATCTACTTGTACGGTACTTGTAGAACATGTACAACTCTATGGAATTTGGTGCGAACAGGCGGATTATTCCATTATTTGTGCGATTCGTATGCAATTTGCCTCGAATTATGCGATTATTCGATTTTGGTAGGAATTATGCGAAACATTATGCTAGCATAATCCGTCAAGGCCTAGTGATTGCAACATTTTCGCTGCTTGTCTATTGTTCTTCATTGATCTGCTCACCTCTGTAGACAAATGGAGACCTCCTCGATAGGCTTAGTGGCCTCTGGGGAATCCTTGAAATATATATAAAAATCCAAAATTCTCTCCGTCCTTCTTTGTTTTTTCTTTCTTTCGGTGAAATGTCTGTTCGGCGAATTGGCCGCTCGGTGAACTGTCATTCTGTGAGTTGTGCATTCGGTGAAATGGGCATTCTGTGAACTGGGTATTCGGTGAGCTGTCGTTCGGTGAGCTGTCGGTCGGTGAACTGTCGCTCGGTGAACTGTCGTTCGGTGATATGTCGGGATACCGAATCGCAAACTTTGAAGAACGCAAACTCGCGCCACGTAAAGTTCAGTGCAAGACTGACTCGACTGTGTAGCACGACTCGCAAACATTAAACAGCGCAAACCAGTCTCAATTTGTAAAACGCAAACATTTATTGTCGCAAACGTTACCCCGTTTCGCAGTACTCTAGAGGCTGTGCTGATGCAGCTCTGGCCCAGGAGTGGAGCTGACAGACTACCAGAAGCGAGTGGTGACAAAAACAATAGCTCGTGTGGGTGAGATTTTTTTCATCATGCGTATCCTGTGTGGCCGTAACAAAAAGTAGGAAAAATTATCGCCGGTTTATAATCTGACGATTGTTCCCTCAATGTGACCGGCCACTTACCAACAGCTGTTGAAAAACACACCATTCGTACAGTTAGGATGAATAGTTGGTCAGGAATCAGATCATTTCGTTCAGTGGCCTGTACACATCCTTGCTGTCCAATTTCGTGTTTCCTCCCTCTGCACGCAGATTTTGTGACAAACTGTAACAACACCGCTGGAACTCAATCCACCTGGTTTGCAATATTTAGTACAAGCCTCTACACCGGGGAGTTCAATACGATCAGTCCTGAATCAGCCGTTGATACGTGCCAAAGATATGGGTTTGATGTGATGGACTATGACCAGTACAAGAACCCGGAGTCCGGCGTGGAATCCTGCGTTTCCAGCCTCCTGGACAAGTTGTTTAGCGTAAGGAGGGATCTAGTGTCACCAGTGTATTGGGCCCGGCGATCTGGGAATGTGTTGATGCGTCAGGATTACTCACAAGAAAGCAGTGGCGTAGCCTACACTGGAGACATTCCTCCCACTATAATCTGCTCAGGTAAGCCTTTGAATAATCAGTGCTTGCATTTTATGTACCGTGAACACTCGTTTCATACACCATCCCTTCTCAAAATGTTCCACTCTCAGTCAGAACCAACCAGCCATGTATTTTTTCTCTCAGTCAGAACCAACCAGCCATGTATTTTTTCACTCTTTTTCTCTCCATATCCTAAATTGAATACTGATGCCAGATACATTTGGTGGGAAGCGGAAAGGAAAATCAGCTCGGGTGCCAGTGGAGTTTGGGACAAATTTGCTTCAATTCAATTGTATCATCGACTTATTCTATGTTCCTCTCTCACAATGCAGGCAGTTGGACAACGGTGCCCTATCAAAAGTATTACCTATCAACACTTCAGAATGGACTGCGTGTGAAGTACAATGCAGCAAGGCGAGCCTGCACTTTTTACGGCAAACGTCTCATGTCCGAGAATGACATCCCCGCGTCACAATTGACTAACCTTCGACAGAATGTGTTTGCACATCTTCAAGTTAAATCTGGTGCATATTTCCTTGAAGGCGGCGCGAAGATCTTGGCACAGAACTACCGGGGGCAAACTAGTGAATTGATCATGCAGATTTTCAATCTCTACCCTGAGTCCGAGAAGCAAATATTATGCATTCGTAAGTTTGACAACTTGATTATCGACTTCAAAATCTCACTGCTTCCTGGATAACTATTGATAATCGTAATCTACTTCTTGATTTGCAGAAGATCCACTGCCGTCATGGCGTCACTACATAACACTGGAGACCCTAACACCAGCAAACTCTATCACACCTACATGTACCGTCAAGCCTTGTTTAAAAGCCGCACTTTAATACAAGCCGCCCTCGAATACAAGCCGCACTTTTGGAAGCGTACAATCGCACATAAGCCGCCTTGAAATAGTAGCAGCGGCTTCAACATGCAACACTATGCTCACTCGCAGCTAGTTTAGTAGATTGTAAGCCTGTCTGCTATAGAAGCCTGCGGAATTTCCCCCAAAAAGTCGTATTAGCCTTTAGTTTATACAAAGAGTAGATGCGCTCTTTAACCTTGAAATACGTGTAAACTTTGGATGCCCTCTATGTGGAGGTTTTTTTATTTTATGAAAGTGCAGTCTGCTGACATTGTGTAGTGTTCAAGTTTTACGTTCGCAGTCTGTGTTAACTTAACTGTTAAGTGACCAGAAGAGTAGTAAAAAAGCACTCCCTGACAGAAAGCCACTAGGCGTTTGTGGTCACAACCAGGAGTTTAGCAGTTATCCGGAATACAGACTCTTGAGAGGTTATTTACTCTTGCGTTTACATGTTGTTGTTGTTGTTGTTGTAGACCGAATGTTTCTCCTCTACTCTCCCTACAGAGATCTGCGATCATGGGCAACTTGTGAAGGGGCGCTGCATCTGCCAAAAAGGGTACATTGGCGAAACGTGTGAAAAAGACATCACACCAGGTAAGACCTGAAAATAGGCTACGCAGACTGAAAATGCCCCATTTTAGATTGCGAATACTGGCAGTAATGGATGAGATTGAGTGGAATGATGACCAGCAAAGCTATGATTGCACACCCATTGCAACGCACCCGCCAACACCCATATGATTTAACAGGGAGATTGTTATATCAAGCAGCAAGGCTCTATTCCCCTGTTGATCTCCAGTACCATGGCTGTCAGAGCAGAACAATAAACAGAAAAGGACCTATGTGGTACGAGTTATGACTAACAATCCACGAACTTAAGGTAACGAGATATTATACAGTCAGATAGTGCGACAATAAGGCACAACATTGACAGGGATATTGAGACATTAGACACCCTTAGCAAACAACGGTAACGCTATTTTTACGGTACTCGTACCTTGATCACCCAAATAGCGTTGAAGCTGCAGCGTATAAACGTTATGGGGGCTGATTTATCGTTGTGACCAACGGTACGTGTTTTGGCCAAATATTGCATAGTCCGTACGCATTTCACCTTGTATCGCGTATATGGTGACAAAAATGGTTGTACCGCGCGAAATCAAATCTCGTGGCAACAGCGTACTAAAAATAGCGTGCATCTTGCTAAAGGTCGAACCCAAATCACGGTATTTTCCCACTTACGATAATACCGTTACAACATAACGTTTTTTGCTAAGGGTGTCTATTAGTAATTTGGTACTGGAAGCATCCCTCGTTTTTATCTCCCTGACTCGAATTTTACCAGCACGAGATTCAGCCATCCTCAAATTGTTGTACGACTGCGTCTTGCATGGATGTCTGGGGTGATTACTACAATGGTGGTCATCAGGGAGTACTAAGGCTGCGTTCACTCGGACACGAAACGGAATGGAACGAAACCAAAACACGCTGCCCTCGACAACCATTTACACGAGAACGGTAAATCGTTTTGAACCGTTTCCACGGAAACGTAAACTTGAACGGGGACACGCTAGTTGGAGCTGGCTAGCTCATGAACGCTATTTCTGCACGTGGCTAGAATATTTCTCGTACGATATATTCCCATCGCGCATAATGGTTGCCATGACCGTGCTCTGTTTCCAATCGTTTTTACTGCTCACACAAGCGCGAAAATATGTTGAAAACATTTCAAAGCACTTCCAAGTGCGTTTTCATTTCATTCCGTTTTGGGGTGCGTTTTCGTGCGTTGTCCTGTAAATGATAGTAGTAAACGAAACGATTTCGTTCCGTTTCGGTCGTACTTCGTTGTCGTATAAACGCAGCCTAAAACATCGTTTTTAGCACTGCCTGGTGGTCACTGGTCATGGTCGGTTCTTCACCCATGTAGGCCTGGATTGCGGAGTGCTACGATTCCAGTACAAATCACAACGCTCCCAACACCCGTTGCCACCGAAACAAGTTTAAAAACTGGAGCTCTACTTGTTTGGACTATTGCTGCCCCTCCCCCCCCCCCCCCCCCCTCTTTGGGTATCGGGTTTTGGTAGTTCGACGGGTAGCGCGGATGCCCTATCGGAGTAATGTTTCCATGGTAACAGCACAATGCACGCCTTCCCTTTATTCACACTGAGTAGACATGTGGCAAATTGCGTGAGTTTGTACACGTGCACTGTACGTGATGGCATCTGCGACCTCGGGTTTCCGGGTACTATTCTGTACCCGTCTACCCGAGGTCCCCCGCGGGTAGCACGGGTACCCCGACTACCCATACGCACCACTACACTTCACGTATTCTTTTCATTCTCTCCCGTCTACATGTATATGCAACTATGGGCATGTTCGATTGGTAAGGATCGGGATCCAGATCTCAGATCCCTCGGATCCTTCAGATTCAACTGAACACTTTATTTTGGACCTTGACTGTTGCCATGCCTTTGTTGTTGATAATGGCGCTCACAAGGCACCCTAAAGGGTGAACGTCGTACTCATCGCGTGCGTCGTACAAAAAGTTAACAAGCTCTATCTCCATCCACGTGTGCGTACCACAATGTGTACAAAAATGATTTTTACCCGCCATATACGCACAAAGGTCACATTTGGATCCGTTGGATCCGATCAACCCTGCTCCCCGAGGAGGGTTGACCGGATCCAAATCCGAAGGATCCGGATCCGGATTCGACCAATCGAAAGGGTGCGAATCCAGTGGATCCGGTGGATCGGGATCCCGATCCTACCAATCGAACATGCCCTATGCGTCATCCATGTTTTATTTGCTAATATGAAGACACATTTGAAATAAGCAAAAATTGCAAATGACAAACTGCGCGATCGTCTCCGAACGCCATGCAAAGTGCCAGCCCCTGCCCTGCCCACGAATTGAAGTACTGGTTAATCATGTATCAATCAGGGTTTTACATTCTAGAGTAGAGTGCAAGACATTTTACCGGACTGCAACCTTTTCTGTCCTTTTTTTTTCTTTTTTCGAATGTTTTCTTGCAGAACTCATCTCATTTTGTGCAAGAACTGAGGAGAGCCCGAAGTTAAGGTTTCCGCTGATGGGCTCAGCTGCTACCCTTTCTCGACAAGTGAGTTCCCTTGAAGGTGCCCAACACCTGTGTCGTCAGAGGGGATTTGGAGTGCTTGATTTCGGGGACATCGGCATTGGCACGGAAAAAGAGATCAGTTGCAAGCAACGTCCTTTCCAAATTATCCAGGGTCAACTTAATCTTAACGCTCAGCGAGAAACGACATCTTCCATCAGTTTCTGGTCAGCCTATGTCCGAAAGATCTACGCCATGGCTGCTTTCCAGAGTCCCGTTCTGAGGACCTATGAATCTGGCCACGAATATTCCGTGGCTTGTGAAGGTAAGGTTCTGTCGCATGACATCACGCGATCAAATTTGGTATAGCAGTGTGCCCATCGGCTTGGAGAATGCCTACCCATCTTGTTGTCGGGGCGTTGCTGTCAGGGTGGTGTATATTAATAATTGTCAGTCAATGTATTTTGCAAATGCCCGTTCTCATGCACACTACATGGAATGGTCAGAGACAGAGAGCGGCAGGACGTGGCGCAGTTTTTTTTTTTTTTTTTTTTTACTAGAGCCACGTAAACCCGTCATGTGTGAGCCATGAATAAGGAGAGTGGTGGCGTGATCTGGGACGCTCTGCCGACCTTGGTTCTCAGTTAGCCCAAACCAAGCTGAGTGAGGTCTAATAGTAGATTTCGTACTGATGGGGATCCTGTGTGAATGTACTACATTGCTCAAAATAATGATGTCATTCAGAAATGTCCCCCTGACAGCTTCCCTTTTGTTTTCGCACTGCAGATTTTGTGTGTTTCATGAGCTCTTATGTGCATGCGGTGACTGACATACCCAGACAACATGACTGTCTTGATCCGACCATACAACGGATATGTATACATTTATCTTACTTTCTGTCTAGGACACTGGAAGCGGAAAACCGTACAATCTGGCACCTTCTCGCTCGCCACGTTGGGTAAGCAAGCGCCAGTCTCCTACGAGTTTGCAGGCGACGCCTGCGCATACATCAACCACACCCTTCTGACCCCGCAGGAGCTTGCCGCCGCTTTCGAGTACGACGCAACCCTCCGAGCAGACCTCGATGATCTCCTGGAGCCTGGTGTTGGTCCAGACTATATCCTCGCCGGAGGGCGGGTCAAAGCTCATTATACCAAGTTGCATGGACCATCGTTTGTGGTGTTTCTGGCCACCGATGGAGCAGAAGGGTATGCGGTCCTTTGTGGAAGTAAGTACTATACTTCTAAGGTTTGTTTGGTTCTTTTTCACAAAAAAAACTTGTGGTCCATGACAAATTGGCACACGAAGCGCGAGAGAGGGGTGATAGCCACTGAACCACGGCACGAAAATAAAAGAAAGAATGGAAACGTGGCAATGCGTGCGCGTTCTTGATTGCTTAATTTCCCCGCAATATTCGGCGAGGAGACAACAATTATAATAACGCAATATGAAGGACGAGCTGACGTGACATTGGATTACTTTATTACACAATGCCAATCCATGGAGACGATGATAAAACAATCTAAAAAGTAAAGGAAAATTCCATGAACTTGTTGTATGGCCATGTCTGCATCTATTATATTCTTTATTGCATTAATAAAATTGCTTTCTCCTCGCCGACTCTTTAAAATACATGTAAGAAGAAAAAAGCTCAACTCGGGTGGTGAGCCAATTAAATTATGGTGAAAAGGAGAAGGACAACATGTTATTACTACAACTAAAACAATCTAAAAAGTAAAGGAAAATACATTTAAGAATAAAAACGCTCAACTCGGGTGGTGAGCCAATTAAATTATGGTGAAAAGGAGAAGGACACAATATTACGAGTTATGACTAACTGTCCACCAACGTAACCAGATCTTATGCAGTCATCATCAGTTTTGTGCCATTTGGTCGCACTCGCTGACTGTATAAGATCTGGTTACGTTGGTGGACAGTTAGTCATAACTCGTAACATTTTGCCCTCCTCCTTTTCACCATGAAGAAAAAAGCGATCGAAAAATTGTTTTTCTTGCTGATACACACTTGCCACGCTCAGTGCTTACCAAGAGTTGATAACACCCAAGAGTGTGCAACTCCTGAGCAGTCCCTGTATGGAAGCCCGCTCGGCGGAATTCCTTCATTGTGTCATTTTTGGTGCAGTGCGATGAGTCGTGCCATGAATTCTTCTAAAACTTACTTCCTCAGGGTAAACTGCGATTCTGATGTGAGTCCCCAACACAAGAAGTAAAACATCCTAAAAAAATTTTTTAGATGCCAATGCCTGCAATGGCGACTCTTCATCGCCTTTTGCTTTCGCCATACCATTGCAGTGCAGCCAGTCTCTTCAAAAACTATTTTTCCCCGGGCCCTCGGCATATTTCCGTCCTTTCCTCGAAGATAATTTCAAGTGATTGAGGGAATTGAGAATGCGTCGAAGGAGCGTTTTTCGGCTGAGTTTCACAGCTATCAGAATGGTTATCCTCGACTGCAATGCAATATTTTTTTCCCTCGCCAGTTGGCACAAGCTACACTTGCGGTCTTCATCCTCACTTCTTCCTGTGGTTGATGTTCAGGGATTCTCGGAGAAAAAGAGAAAGTATGACTTGTACGTCTGAAATGTCTTCAAAAAAGCTTCAAAATGTCGAGGATATAGCCTTGAGATAGGAGCGGTTCCGGGCATAATTTCCAAAAATCGCAAGGAACACAATTTACCTCGGATCACCAGTTGCGCATGACGTAATGTAGGAATTTCGCCGAGCGCTGGGTGATTGCCAGTTGCACACTATTGGTGGTTAGGAACTCTTGTTCTTACTTGTACTTGTATACCCTTGTTTTCAGCACACTTTTTGTGAGAAATCACACCTCGATATTTTAGTGCTGTCGTTGCATCTTGCTACCATACCTTGATTGCCATATTATTTCCTTTGTTCTTATTTTGTTCTTTAGTACAACGGTGATTCCTGAAGAGTGTTAAAACTCGTTCGAATTATCTTTTTTTCCATCGCTTTTTTCTTCTTACATGTATTTTTCTTTACCTTTTAGATTTTTTTCGTATTGTCTCCATTGCTTGACATTGTCTAATACAGTAATCCAATGTCACTTCAGCTCGTCCTCCTTATTGCGTTATTAAAATTTGAAAATACTTAATAATGCAGAAACTAAATATTGAACACATCGGAAGCACTCCCAGTGCATTGCCCTAGTTAGTGCATTGGGATAGTTGAAGGGGAAGTGCATCGATTTCTCAAGTACGGTTCAGGGGAAAGACAATTTGATAATAACGATAATTATTATCGTTTCGAGTGGTACATTTTCTCTTACTTGCATACGATGAGCCAAACTCGCCAAATTGCCGATTGTATGATAGTACCGGTAGTAGTAGTAGTATTTGGGAGAATTGCATTGTATTGAATTTATTTTACTTCAGTGGCTCAACAGTACAATGTACCACTGCAAAGAGGCCCAAAAAACGATCATTTGGAGATAAAGGGAAAAAGAAGGAGCAAACCAAAAACTAGATGAAGTGAGAAAAAACAACAAGAGAATTAGTACTTCAGAAGTACTACGTAGTGGTCTGAAACTGAGATCCTTCTTTGTTTTTTAAAGAACCGCACAAACATTTGTGCTATGGTATTGTTGAGTCATCCAGTTATAACTACAATAATTATAGCTTACTAATGCTACCATTGATGTGCTGCTGTTTTCTCAGGAGGCAACTTTGCATCTCTCAAGCCAGCTCATTGAGAATCTGGGATAAAGGGTGAGTAGTAGAGGTTGGTAGCACCGCCAGAATGATACTGGTAAGCATACAAACAATAAGAGGGCAGAGAAAGTGTTTTACAGACTAGTAAAGCGATCATCAGAAAACAGTAATTTCTCTGTCCTCGTATTGTTTGAACCAGCTCTGCCTCTCGGTATTGAGCACTCTCTTGGACAGCCTAGAACCTCTCTGTTTTAATGGTAAGCATAAATAGGTCATGATGGTTTTGTGACCTATGGACTGTAAACAATGCATACAACAAGAAAACGACGGGCAGAAAGAAAGACAATGCAGAAAGGAAAATATCGACGAAGAGAGTGGATGAGGATATGGTAGTTCTCCTTGGTTCTTCATAGCAGACGATCTCCGAAGGCGTATACACTCCGCCAGCGATGTAGACGTGGACGTTTTCCGCTGCCACCAGTGTTAGCTTCCGGCTAAATGAAGTCCCCTCACACCAGAACACAGGGGTTTTGGTATTGAGTATGGAAAGTATTTCGACAAGAGTGTAGACAAGAATGAAAAGGAGAGCAGGACAACGACAACTCAAGACAGCACTAGAGGTCCAATGGAACATGCGTTCTTCTATACGCGGGCGGCTCTCATTGCCAAGGGAACGAGCGGGAAATACGAATAGTGAGTATGTACAGGTCGTAGCATAAATACACCTATTACAGTTTCATGTGAACCACAGTCCATTTCAAAACTATAGACGCGTAGGGGTTTTGAAATATTTCAAATTTGGCTGGAACTTTTTGAGAATAGTTTTCGGAATATTGCTCAGGACCGCTCCACAATTATTACTCTCATATAGTTTCTAAACGATTGGATAACAGACGCCCAATTTGGAAAAATTTATGCACAAAGTGATCACAGATTTTATGTGGTATAGATGCTGGCATAACGGTTTTTGCCTAGGTACGCCGCGTCTATAGTTTTGAAATGCCGGACTGTACATTACTCACTGAGAATGATCTGATGATCCATGTTTGGCCTCTTTAATGGGAGAACAAAAAATTCAATGTGCCATCATGAAGGATTTATCACAAAACACAAAGAGAAACTGAGAAAAAAATTATGCAAGAAAGTAATCAAGAGGGGTAAGCACTAAGTAGCAGCATTCCGCCTTGTCCAGAGTGTGGTGTGGTGGTTGATAAGAATCAAGAAAGTAATCATAATGAGGATCATAATTTTTCATAATTTTTAATATTAAAAAAAAAGGGGTGATAAGAATGCAAACCCAGCTCTGACTTGAAATGCAAGATCAATGTTATTAGAACTGGTACAACATTCATCCCCAGAATATGGATGGAAACTGTTCTGTAGACTAATACATGTATCAAGGGTACATAACCCCCCAGAGTGTGCAACGCCTGATCCAGCTCTGCATAGGGTCTTGGTCGAGCGTAATCGGATCTTTGCCTCATAATACCGTACACATCTGAGGGGAACCCGGGGAGTACTCTCTGATCAACAACAACGGTGCCCTGCCTCGAGACCGGCCTTGCGCTGGTGTGGAGTGTACGCATGACATCAGAAGATCCGATTACACTTGACCAAGACCCTATGCAGCGTTGGATCAGACGTTGCACACTCTGGGGGGGGGGGGGGGGTATGTACTCTTGCTAGTAAGTAGTATTGTCTAGTTGCCTTCTCTCACAACCGGCGCTCAGCGATTGCAAGCATTACTATAGAATGAGCTCATCACGTTTTCGAAAGTGAAGCTAAAATGACCGGCATCATCTGACCCATGTGAACTACGACTAAATTATGGACAGCCTGACCCATTTTGGCTTTTTGGCACCATGCGGCAAAATCCGCGCATTTTTGGAACAGTTTCATAGGTCTGATAATATTGTGTGCATTTTCCATGCGTATTCTGTGTTTTGTAGGTTGAGCAGGCAGGACGGAATGAGTATTTTCCGCAAGCACTGCTTTACGTCCTTCTTCGCGTGACCAGAGGACAATTGGACACTCTCTAAAACCTACGTTCTAAGAATGTGTCTATATTTTTGCTGTTTCTTTGATTTGAAACTCAGATGTTGAGCCATATGTCCATTTCCTTTCTTTGCTTTCTTTTCGTTCTCACAATAATAAATTAATAATTATTAGTATCATTGCGATAGTCGGTTGACCGCCGAAGTCGAGCTATGACTTTTCGGGACAGTCTGTTTGCGTATCTTCAACTTTCCGTCCCTTTACCTGCCCTGAGCTCAGTTGTGGACTCCTGTCCATTCTAACCAATTAACCAATAAACTAACAACATAGTTGGGGTTGCTGTGTCACGTGACTGTGTGTGTGTGTGTGTGTGTGTGTGTGTGTGTGTGTGTGTGTGTGTGTGTGTGTGTGTGTGTGTGTGTGTGTGTGTGTGTGTGTCTCTCTGCTGCACCATGCGTGACAATGGTGTGGGATCACCCCACTGTGCTCGCAGTTCCTGTGAAGAGATGCGCTGTTCCCACTGTCGGCCTCGCGATACGCCAAGGATGGAGCGAATGTTGGGACACCATTGTCACGCATGGTGCAGCAGAGACGGTTGGAGTGGCTTGGGCACCTGGCTCGTCTTGATGACACCAGAGTACCGAAGCAGTTGCTGTTTGCCTGTCTCCCTCAGTCTCGGCCATTCTGTGGACCTCGTCGTCGCTGGAAGGACACCATTCACACGGACCTATCCGTGGCTGGAGTGCGTAACTGGTTTGAGTTGGCAAGCGATCGTGGAGAGTGGCGTGGAGTGGTGACAGCAGCAGGTGAGGACAAGGAACCCGCCCCGAAGAGCATCGAGTGCTCAACCTGCACCCGTCTGTTCCGCCGTAGTTCCGACATGGTCCGGCACAAGTGTTCAGCAATCCGTCAGCTCCCGGTATCGGAGCAGCCTGGATCAGTACAGTGTCCAACATGCAACCGATGGCTACGTAGCAGAGGAGGCTTTGCGGTGCATAAGTGTCGGCTAGGCGATGTCGACCAGCCGCCGGCCCCTGCCCCTGCTCCTCTTGTTGTTCCTGGTGTAACTTGCACCAACTGTCAGCGTTCATTTAAATCGGCTGCGGGTCTCAAGCGTCACCGTTGTGGAACCTGTCCAAAGCGCCCTACTGTGGCTGAACGCCAACAATTCAAGTTTCACTGCCAAGTTTGCCACAACCGACGGTTCCGGAGGCGGCAAGATCTGGAACGCCACTTGGAGCATTGCCTTCCTCCCCCCTAACCTCTCTGACAGTACCTCCCTTTGGGGAGCGGCGTGGCCATTTCTGGCAGCTGTCAATAGTAGTAGTAGTAGTAGTAGTAGTGTGTTTGTGTGTGTGTGTGTGTGTGTGTGTGTGTGTGTGTGTGTGTGGATATTGCAGTGCTGTGGCCTGTAGTGTGGTGTTGTGCTGTGTGACGTCACGGCAACATCCGATAATCCACAGAGCAGGGCAACGACCGCACACAACACCTTGAACCTTGAACGCCCATTGCCGTAGCAATGATAGCGATGGCTTCCTCACGCTGAGGCTCTAAACTCGAAATCTGCAGTATGGCGCATGCCGCTTGAGGTCACCAGGACGACGGAACACTCTGTCACAGCGGTAGTTGGGGCACGGGATGTCTGGGGCTTCCTTCTTGACCCTCTGTCGACAACACTGAAACCAGGTGGATCTCTCCTGCGCTGTGTCATACCAGTCCGCTTCAGGTAAACCGATGACAGCAAAGTCCTAGGACACAACATCCCGCCAGCGCTTCTTGGGACCATGTTGCGGGCGTTTGCAGGGGGGTTCGGCGAACTGCCCTGCAAACGCCCGCAACATGGCACACAACACAGAAACATCGATACAGGAGCATGCATACGTACATCCATGTTGTTGCTGTTGTTGCTGCTGCTGCTGCTGCTGTTGTTGTAGTTATTGTTTTTGTTTGTGTTGTATTATTGTAGTTTATTTTACGCGGGCTTGGATCCACAATCAATGATGCGCCTCATCAACCAGTATGTAGAATCATTCGAGTTATATGGCGCGGCTGCATACAATGTATTAGCGTTACAACGAACAGTGGAAAACGACTGTAGGAGGATCCTATCTCCCAGGCAGTTTGGCTTCCGCCGTCGACTTGGAACCAGGGAGTAGTACAATACTGGTAGGGAGGTTTAGTTCCCACGTAACGGAAACGCGTACGTGGGTGATCCACGTAAAGTGGATGAAGGGCACCCACGTTGCAATGTTGTGTTTAGTCACACGGAACAAACAAAAGCATGAAGTGAAAGGCCCAAACCTGGTCAAAGACGAAGTTACCCGGGCCTAAGAAGCTCATCCAATATTTTGATTTCGTGCTTCGGAAACTTCTTCAGCTGAGCACCCTCACAGCTCGCACAATGCGCTCCATTCTGATTTTCACCCACGTTCTAGCGGAACGTGGGTGAGCCTCCATACACGGTATGTCGTGAATCAGAAAACGTCTGTACGTGGGTCACTGAGTATCACGTGGTACACACACGGAAAGTACCCACGGATTACGTGGGACTAAACCTCCCTCCACTATTGTACTACTCCCTGCTTGGAACTGCCGACCTCCTCAGTGTCCTCCATCCTGAGTGGTCCCACATAGTCGGTGGCAATGGAATCGCTCGACGTGTTGCAGTCGACATAGCTGGTGCTTTCGATACAGTTTCGCACACTGGCATACTGCATAAAGCTGACATGTCCGGCATTGGCGGGTCAACTCTGTCTCCACTGATGAGGGTAGAGGGGACGGTTCGATACCGGAACGGCTTGATAGCCAAATTTGTATAGACCCAAACCGATCATCAGCGTGGATTTTTCACTCGAAATATTATGTCTGTGGAAGGAAACCGGCATGTTGAAGTTTTCTCTGAGGCCAGAGTCAATCGAACTAAGCCACTCCTTCGTATTGGCCTATTGCCTCCAAGTTGCCCAATTATTTGCTTCAAATCAAAGGTGGCTCCAAACCGGAAAAGTTTTAGAGTGCACGTCAAATTCTCTCTGAGTTCTAAGGTAATTGCTATCGCTCCACGACGGCCAGTACTACGAGTCGTACAGAGTAACAATAAGCCTTGTGAGTGCTCCCATTAGTTTTCATTGGATATGGTGCTTTATTGGCGAGAGACGAGCCGCTGTTTACCTGCGACAAGAAGTTGATTTTTCGAAAGACGTAAAACTCAAGTCGCAGTGCGAAGCAACACGTCAAAACTCACCTGCTTAGTATGGCGCTTCTGGTCTTCGCAGAGCCATGAAATTTCAGCTCGGAGTAAAACACATCGTAGTCTCACTGTGACATACGTTTTCTAATCAAAATACCAAGAGAGAAAGTGAATATTGAGTCCGTTCCGGTTTGCGACATAACTATTTCCTATTTGAAACCGTCTCCTCTACGGGAGGAAGTGGCTATCTTGTCATCGAAGGCACTGATGGCCAACGCTCTGGAGTGTGCAGTGGCAGCGATCCTGCAGGCATAGTAGCAACTTCCTTCACCGCCGAGGTATCTGCAGCAGTAGCCGGTCTCTCTGCGGCAGGATATCTACTTACGGGTGGCCCCACCAACGCAGACGATCAACCCTCGCTGCCAGACCTCATCCTACGGACAGTCGACTGATTCTGTTGCCGGCGATCCGTACTGTATGAGCCCAGATACAATCATAGCAATAAAAACTGCTTTATGGCAGTTTTCAAAAAAAGTTATTGTGTTCTAGTCCATGGACCCCGTCTAAAAAGTAAGAAATTAACGAAATGTGATAGCCGAAAATTAAAATTTCACACAAAACCTCACAATAATCACACACAGGATGAAAAGCGAGAAGAAGGTCCTGGACAAGCACTGTCCAATGACAACCGTCAAACTACGTGGCAAATACAAACCTGCCCCTTGGGTAGATGACGAGCTCCGGAAATTGTTGTTCAGGAGGAAGCGTTCGCACAGGAAAATGAGAAAGAACCCAGCTGACCCGCAACTAGTCCAGAACTTCCGGACACTGCGGCGGCAATGCAAACTTCTCACGCGTCGCAAGCAAGCCGCATTCTTTCAGAACGAATTTATTTACAATAGGAAGAACCCCAGAGGCCAATGGAATGTTCTAAACACTCTGCTTGGTCGAATCAAGATCCACCGTGAACCAGGTGCAGAGGTCAAAGACATCACAGCTACATTCTCCGAAATAGTATCACCGGGTTCGCCAACTACACCAACCGCTACAACGCACACTACACTGCCACTAGGTCCGATGCCTGAACACAACTTTTGCACTTTCGACCGCATCCCGACAAGCCTCGTAGAATTCTACCTAAAGCGGTTGGACTGCCGTAAAGCGTGCGGCCCCGACAACGTACCCGCAGCAATCTACAAGTCTGCAGCTGACGGGATTGCCCCTGTTCTCGCTCCGCTATTTTCAGACTCACTACAATCTGGAACTTTCCCAACTCCGTACAAACAGGCTAACGTTCGGCCAATACATAAGCGAGGTGATCACAGCGATCCTACTAATTACAGGCCAATATCGCTCCTTCCGCAAATGTCAAAGCTGTTAGAACGCTGCGCCCTTGACCAGCTAATGGAATTCGTGCGTGACGCTCCACAAGCAAACCAAGCACTGCCGCCTGAACAGTTCGCCTACAGAAGACAACACTCCTGCGATGACTTGCTAGCCTTGGTGGCGAATGACTGGCAGCAAAGTCTGGATGCCGGTAAATTTGTGGTGGCAGCGTTTCTTGATATGTCGAAAGCATTTGACACGGTCAATCACAACATGCTCCTGCAGGAGCTTTTCGAGATTGGCGTCGGAGATAGCGCCCTGCAATGGTTTGCGAGCTACCTACGAGGCAGGCGGCAGCGAGTGGTAACACGTACGTCCAGAGGTGAACTGTACGAAGCTCACAGGGGAGTTCCTCAGGGATCCACCCTCGGACCTGTGCTCTTTAACCTGTCTGTACGCAAATTGCCCTCGGCAGCATCTTCCAGCATGGTGCGCCAGTACGCTGACGATGTCGCCCTGTACCTAGCAGGCCACAACCTACAACAAACT